GTTTCAAAATTTAGTTATTTTCCTCAAAATTTCTTGGTTAAATCAGTTACAAAAGAGAATGACGTGGCAATCCGGGTTCACGAAACTCGGGGCGTTACAATTCTAGTGTTGACTTGGATCGTCTTAATAATGCCAACTTTCTCCAGAGGATTTTCAGGGCTTAATCTGAAAGAGAGATGTCGAATATTTATGATAATTGGGAGAGATTGGTGGAGGCCGTGATCCGGAGAGAGCAACTATGGCAAATGTTTCATGATCAGAGCCCAAGTGACAGCTCAATAACTTCTGATATCAGTTTTAATTCTCAAGTCCTTGATGTGCCTTTTGATTTTTCAAGCCCCGGAGGTTCATCTCAGTATCAGCAGCTACCTTCACCCGCAGTAGAAAATTTGCTAAAGAAAGAAAAATATGTAGAGGTGAAGGTTTCTGGGATGGTATTTTTTTCAGGGTTTTAGTCCTGTTTTTGACCTTGAAGATATGTTGAGGTCTTCTGGAAAGTTTCTAGGGATGGGAACATTTGGAAGTGCATATATGTCAGCAATGGATAATGGAATAACAGTTATGTTGAAGAGATTGAATGAAGTGAATATTTCAAAAAAGAAGTTCAGAAAACACATGGAGGTTATTGGAAATATAAGACACGATAACGTGTGTGCATTGAGGGCTTACTATTTTTCTAAATATGAAAAGTTCATGGTTTATGATCATTACTCTAATGGCAGCGTATCTGCAATATTACATGGTACGTTGAACTCCAGGGCTTCATTTCTTGTTCCCACGTTTTTTTATACATCTGAAGAAAAATTCTAAGCATACTAGAGTGTGTTTGATAGATATTATTGAGGAAATAATGTATTTAAATGTAATATGATGAGAAATATGTGGTTAAAAGTACGGAAAAGTCATGAAAAATATTATTTTATTGAAGAATGTGAGGTTGAAAATGAGTTTTGAATTAATTTATTTTGAAAAAATATATATCCAACAGAGGCTAAATGTTTTCAGCAGCTATTTGAGGCATTCGTGGAATAAATCATCAAATATTTTCCTTAATTCACAACAGTATGGTTGCATGTCTGATCTTGGCTTGGCAAGCATGATTCCATCACCAATCATGCGAAATGCTGGGTACCATGCTTCAGAAGTAACAAGCACCCAGAATGTGTCACAAGCGTTTGACGTCTATAGCTTTGGAATCCTGCTGCTTGAACTTCTTACTCGAAAGTCCCCGTTACATGCCATAGGTGGCAATGAGGCTGTCGACCTCGTTAAATTGGTTAATTCTGTCAATGCAAAGGAGCAAACTGCTAATGTGTTTGACGTGGAGCTCTTGAGAGACCGTAACATAGAGGAAAAATGGTAAAGATATTGGAAACAGGGATTAGTTGTGTTGCAAAAACCCCAAGGAGAAGACCTGATATGGCTCAAGTAGTAAAGATGATAGAGGATAATAGTATGATGAATACAAGAAACGGCCTTCAGCCGAAGCTTGTATTCATTGAGGGGCTTAATCCTGATTTTCACCTTAAAGATATGTTTCGGGCTTCTGTGGAGGTTCTTGGAAGGGAAACATTTGGGACTTCATACAAGGCAACACTGGAAAATGGCAGTACAAATATAGAATTTGTACAAATTGAAGGAAGTTATAGTTACAAATATAGAATTTCAGCAGCAAATGGAGGTCATTGGGAGAATGAGGAACGAAAGTGTTGCTACATTAATGTCATACTGCTACTCGCGTGCACAAAAGCTTATGGTGTATGATTATTATGGTGCGGGGAGTGCATCTTCCATGCTACATGGTAGTCAAAATATCTTACTTCCCCTCAGTGCATATGACCTGTAGATCTTGAAATTACAAAGGCTGTGTCTGCACATTATTTTTAAATCCATCTTCTTTTGTAGGCAATTGACTCTGTAAAGAGTGGTTTGAAGAACTAATGAAATATTGACGAGATAAATTAAGATATATTACTCCTTTGGTTACTTTTTCTTTCGATTATATTATTATCCCATTGACTTGCAATCTGAATTGAAGTCTTAGGTACGTGATAAGTGTGTTTTGCACACTTATTTAGGTCACAAAATATGGAAAATTGTTGATGTATATGTTGAAATGTGGCATAATTCGATATAATTTGTGTTTATAGGATTACATTGATGGATGGAATGAAGAGTATGAGAAAATGAATGCAAAAGGACCAAAGTGGAAGGATATGAAACTCCGAGGATCAAAATGTAATTAGTCAAAAGATGACCCGAATGGTGA